TTTTCCACTCTCTTTTTTCCCCTTTTCCACTCTCTTTTTTCCCCTTTTCCACTCTCTTTTTTCCCCTTTTCCACTCTCTTTTTTCCCCTTTTCCACTCTTTTTCCCCCCTTTCCTTTTCCCCTTCTTTTTCCTCCCTTTACTTTCCCCTCTCTTTTCTCCCCTCTGTAATGGTCAAGCACAATCAGACCTCTCCACAAATCCTATAAAAACCTCATCCTAATGAAACCCAAACCTTCATTTCCTCTTGCCAGGCTCCGAGACCTTCGGGACCTGATCCCATTCTACCTGTGCAAAACTGGGAATTTCCTGGATGCTGCCCACTCCCTGCTGTTCCCTGTGAACAGCCTGGCCTGCTGCTCTGCCTGCAGGATCACTCCCTGCCAGTTCAAGGTCTACCTCAGGATCTTCAGGACAGGCTGTGTTCCCTCTGGGAATGACTTGCAGGAGGCAGGGCCCTGGGTCACGGCTGGCAAGTGTCATTTCTTCCTTCCTTCACTGGGAATTTCATTCCAGCTCTTTGCTGGCAGCCAAAGGAGTGAAACCCTGAGCCCAGCTGGGGACTGGGGGAGGGTGGGGAGTCCTCTGCATCCCTGGAAGTGTCCCAGGCCAGGTTGGACAGGGCTTGGGACAGCCTGGGATAGTGGGAGCTGTTGGGTTGGAACTGGATGGGATTTGAGGTTCTTTCCAACCCAAACCATGAAAACAGCAGGCAGGAAGGGTGACTTTGTACTGGAGCATGGATTTATTCACTTCACTTTGCTTAAAACACTCATTTTGCCAGCTGTGAGCTTCTGCTGAAAGCAAAGCAAGAGAAACTATGAAAAAAAAAATCCAAAGGTCTTCACTGCCTCCCAGCATTGCCTCTGTCAGTGGGGGACTTGGCTTTATGTCTCAGCCATGACCTTGAGGAGAAAACCTCCTGATGGGCAACTTTCATCATCAGAATCATGAGCTCAGCCTCTGATAATTGTCTTCATCTCTCCTGGGCTTTGTCACTTCTCAGGGTGTCTTCTGCCACAAAAGGTTTATTTGGGAGTTCTTCCCTGCTGGCAGAATTCTTGGAAGTGTGAGATCCCTCAGTGTGGTGTGATGTCCACACCAAACCCTTCTCTGGGATCACCTGGCTCACTCTGGATTGTGTCCAGACTTTGCAGCTTTCCAGAACTGTGGTTTGGAGCTGGTATTTATCTACTCCACCACCAAACCTGTGTAAAACGGCTGCAAACACTGTCTGGCTCTGCAGAAACAAGGCTGTGACCAAGTGAATATCCTGCTTGTGTTCCTGCTGTGGAGTTATTTGGGGTGTGTAGGATCTGGCTTTGATTCTTTTCATTTCCATCCCTGCAGGCTCTCCCCTGAGGAACACTGTGCTAATTAAGCAGGCACTCAAACTGCTCTACAGCAGCAAGGCACTCTACAGGAACGTGAGTGAGGCCAAAATTCCCTCTTCTCTCCTGTTCCCACTCCTTGAGAGGGCAAGGATTTACCCTGACCCCTTTTTTCTCTGAATAATTCACCCCTCTGCACAAATTTCACTTTGTAACACAAATGTTCTGTTGTTTTTTAGGCCAAATGTTGGAGTTCCTTCATCATGATTTTGGGGAGCAGCGATTTGCTGGAAAAGAGGGGGCACCTGCTTCCCTTAGCCCTGGGAGAGCCCCCCCTTGGCTTCCAAGAGGTACCAAACAGTGCTGGGAGGGTCTCCTGGCTTGGGTTTGGACAAGATTCCACTGGATGTGGGAATTGGCTCCTTCTCCCAGCTGCCAGAGTGAACCTGCAGTGCCTCATCCAGTGCTCCTGTGCCAGGGGTGGCTCTGCAGCATGTGGGGGCTCAGGAGGGTTAAAGGCAGCTGGAAATGGGCTCCTCCTGCTCCCAGCTCAGGCCTGGCACTGGTTCTGGATCTGTTCGTGGTGAGATGGATCAGATCAGATCAGATCAGAAAGGGCCTGGGCAGGGGAATGGCCTCCCACTGCCAGGGGCACAGTCAGGTGGGAGATTGGGCAGGAATTCCTGGCTGGGAGGGTGGCAGGCCCTGGCACAGATTCCTGCAGAAGCTGTGGCTGCCCCTGGATCCCTGGCAGTGCCCCAGGCCAGCTGGGACAGGGCTTGGAGCATCTGGGACCATGGGAGGTGTCTCTGCCATGGCAGGGCTTGGCACAAGGGGATTTTTCCATCTCAGCCCTACAAAAAAGAGTTTTTCCTAGGGTTTGGTTGGTGCTGCAGAGCCTCAACTTCCTTTGAGTGTGATGTGGAACAGGCACCATCCTCTGCAGAAATGCTGAAGGAGTCACTGAAAAGCACCTGGAACCCCATTGCTGGCAGGTTTGGGGCTGGTTGGAGGAGGATCTGCCATCCTTGTCTCTCACTGTCCCCTTGCAGAACGTGCTGGCAGCCAGTGGCAACTTTCTGGAGGATCTCAAGTCTGGAGTTAATGTGTCTTTGCCATCTGCTGTTTTTTCTGGTCAGGTGAGTGATGACAACCAAGGAATTTATCCCCAGCAGTGAAAAATCTTGGGTTATTAAAAGCTTTCAAGAGAGGCCTGGAAGAATTTTT